TTTCACCTCCCAGATAGTACCTTGTGTTCAGCCTCCTGCTCCCTTCACCTAATTTCAATACTTTACACTTTCCTGAGTTGAATTTTAGTAGCCATTTTCTAGACCATTCCTTCAGATTGTCCAGGATGTCCTGTAGTCTCTATCTATCTTCATCTGTCTTAATTCTTCTCATAATCTTTGCATCATGAGCAAACATTGAGAGGAATGAGTCTATACGCTCTGGAAGGTCGTTTAAATATATCAGAAACAGGATGAGTCCAAGTACAGAGCCCTGTGGGACTCCGCTGGTGACATCTCGCCACTCTGATGTCTCCCCCCTCACCGTTACTCTCTGCTTCCCGTTGCTTAGATACTCCCTATCCACTGGAGCACCTTACCTTTTACTCCTGCCTGTTGCTCCAGCTTATGTACCAGCCTCTTATGGGGTACTGTTTCAAAGGCTTTCTGACAGTCCAAGAAAATGTAGTCTACCCACCTCTCTCTTTCTTCATTAATTTACACGTCTGGGTGTAGACACGTCTGGGTGTGGACACGTCTGGGTGTAGACACGTGTAGGTGTAGACACGTGTAGGTGTAGACACGTGTAGGTGTAGACACATCTGGGTGTAGACACGTCTGGGTGTGGACACGTCTAGACCGACAAGTGGGACCCATAAGAGCTCTAGGAAGATTCCAAACACCTCAGCATGTTTACAGTTTCCGGAGAGGGTCCTGTGGACAGTTCCCAGAATAGCAACACTGATCCCTCAGACTGTTGTGGTCGTTGTGTGGCGGTGTTTCAAGGAAGAGCTCTGAGGGTATAGATGGTGTGGCGCGCCAGCTTGTGTGGGCCCCAGAGGCCAGTTAGGTAATGTCCACGGCCTCGCTACGTGGCTCTCAAGGTTACACACGCACGCACACACGCACGCACACACACACACACACGCACACACACACACAAATGACGGAAGGACTCTACTCCTTGGTAAGACTTTCTTCAGTAACCTGCACTTTCGTCAGCACAGCTACACTCACTCATTATTTTAATCTGTGTAGTTATTATATATTATTTGCGTGTGCACCGCTATACATACATACATACATACATACATACATACATACATACATACATACATACATACATACATACATACATACATACATACATACATACATACTACATACACACACACATACACACAGACACACATACATACATACATACATACATACATACATACATACATACATACATACATACATACATACATACATACACACATACATACATACATACATACATACATACATACATACATACATACATACATACATACATACATACATACATACATACATACATACATACATACATACATATGGCTCAGCTATAAGAGGCTGATACATAAGCTGGAGAAACAGGCAGGAGTAACTGGTAAGGCGCTCCAAAGGATAAGGGAATACCTAAGCAATGGGAAGCAGAGTTACAGTGAGGGGTGAGACCTCAGATTCCAGTGGGACTCCACTGGTGGCGTGAAGTCACCAGTGGAGTCCCATAGGGCCCTGTACTATGACCTATCCTGTTTCTGATATACGTAAACGATCTCCCGGAGGGTATAGACTTCTTCCTCTCAATGTTTGCTGATGATACCAAAATTATGAGAAGGATTAAGACAGAGGAGGACTGCATGAGACTTCAAGAAGACCTGGACAAACTGCAGGAATGGTCCAACAAATGGTTGTTAAAGTTTAACCCAAGCAAATGTAATGTAATGAAGATAGGTGTAGTGAGCATGAGGCCAGATACAAGGTACCATTTGGGAGATGAAATTCTTCAAGAGTCAGAGAGAGAGAGAGAGACAGACTTGGGGTTGATATCACGCCAGACCTGTCCCCTAAAGCTCATATCAAAAAGATAATATCAGCGGCATATGCCAGGTTGGCCAACATAAGAACGGCCTTTAGAAACTTGTGTAAGGAATCATTCAGAACCTTGTATAACACATATGTCAGACCAATCCTGGAGTATGCAGCCCAGCATGGAGTCCATATCTAGTCAAGGATAAGACTAAACTGGAAAAGGTTCAAAGGTTTGCCACCAGACTAGTACCCGAGCTGAGAGGTATGAGCTACGAGGAGAGACTACGGGAATTAAACCTCACGTCGCTGGAAGACAGAAGAGTTTGGGGGGGACATGATCACCACATACAAGATTCTCAAAGGAATTGATAGGGTATATAAAGACAGGCTATTTAACACAAGGGGCACACGCACAAGGGGACACAGGTGGAAACTGAGTGCCCAAATGAGCCACAGAGATATTAGAAAGACATTTTTTAGTGTCAGAGTGGTTGACAAATGGAATGCATTAGGAAGTGATGTGGTGGAGGCTGACTCCATACACAGTTTTAAATGTAGATATGATAGAGCCCAATAGGCTCAGGAACCTGTACACCTGTTGATTGACAGTTGAGAGGCGGGACCAAAGAGCCTGAGCTCAACCCCGGCATAGTACAACTAGGTGAGTACACACACGCTTGCCAGCGGTTTATGTTGTGTTGGCAAGAAATGTATACAAGGAGAGGTAGGATATAAAGTCCTTATATTAACATTGTGGTAATAATAACAGCGAGGTAATATTAGGAGTGCAGTGATATTAAGAGTGCGGTAATATTAAGAGTGCAGTAATATTAAAAGTGCGGTAACATTAAGAGTGCGGTAATATTAAGAGTGTGGTAATATTAAGAGTGCGGTAACATTAAGAGTGCAGTAATATTAGGAGTGCGGTAACATTAAGAGTGCAGTAATATTAAGAGTGCAGTAATATTAAAAGTGCGGTAACATTAAGAGTGCGGTAATATTAAGAGTGCGGTAACATTAAGAGTGCGGTAATATTAAGAGTGCAGTAATATTAAAAGTGCGGTAACATTAAGAGTGCGGTAATATTAAGAGTGCGGTAACATTAAGAGTGCAGTAATATTAGGAGTGCGGTAACATTAAGAGTGCAGTGATATTAAGAGTGCAGTAATATTAGGAGTGCGGTAACATTAAGAGTGCAGTGATATTAAGAGTGCAGTAATATTAAGAGTGCGGTAACATTAAGAGTGAGGTAATATTAAGAGTGCGGTAACATTAAGAGTGAGGTAATATTAAGAGTGCGGTAACATTAAGAGTGCAGTAATATTAGGAGTGCGGTAACATTAAGAGTGCAGTGATATTAAGAGTGCAGTAATATTAAGAGTGCAGTAATATTAGGAGTGCGGTAACATTAAGAGTGCAGTGATATTAAGAGTGCAGTAATATTAAGAGTGCGATAACATTAAGAGTGAGGTAATATTAAGAGTGCGGTAACATTAGGAGTGAGGTAACATTAAGAGTGCAGTAATATTAAGAGTGCGGTAACATTAAGAGTGCAGTGATATTAAGAGTGCAGTAATATTAAGAGTGAGGTAACATTAAGAGTGCAGTAATATTAAGAGTGCGGTAACATTAAGAGTGCAGTAACATTAAGAGTGCAGTAATATTAAGAGTGAGGTAACATTAAGAGTGAGGTAATATTAAGAGTGAGGTAACATTAAGAGTGCGGTAACATTAAGAGTGCAGTAACATTAAGAGTGCAGTAATATTAAGAGTGAGGTAACATTAAGAGTGCGGTAACATTAAGAGTGCAGTAATATTAAGTGCGGTAACATTAGGAATGCGGTAATATTAAGAGTGCGGTAACATTAAGAGTGCAGTAATATTAAGAGTGAGGTAACATTAAGAGTGCAGTAATATTAAGAGTGAGGTAACATTAAGAGTGCGGTAACATTAAGAGTGCGGTAACATTAAGAGTGCAGTAATATTAAGAGTGCAGTAATATTAAGAGTGAGGTAACATTAAGAGTGCGGTAACATTAGGAGAGCAGTAATATTAAGAGTGCAGTAATATTAAAAGTGAGGTAACATTAAGAGTGCGGTAACATTAAGAGTGCAGTAATATTAAGAGTGAGGTAACATTAAGAGTGCAGTAATATTAAGAGTGCGGTAACATTAAGAGTGCAGTAATATTAAGAGTGAGGTAACATTAAGAGTGCAGTAATATTAAGAGTGCGGTAACATTAAGAGTGAGGTAATATTAAGAGCGAGGTAACATTAAGAGTGAGGTAACATTAAGAGTGAGGTAACATTAAGAGTGCGGTAACATTAAGAGTGCAGTAACATTAAGAGTGCAGTAATATTAAGAGTGAGGTAACATTAAGAGTGCGGTAACATTAAGAGTGCGGTAACATTAAGAGTGCAGTAATATTAAGAGTGAGGTAACACTAAGAGTGCGGTAACATTAGGAGTGCAGTAATATTAAGAGTGCAGTAATATTAAGAGTGAGGTAACATTAAGAGTGCGGTAACATTAAGAGTGCAGTAATATTAAGAGTGAGGTAACATTAAGAGTGCAGTAATATTAAGAGTGAGGTAACATTAAGAGTGCGGTAACATTAAGAGTGAGGTAACATTAAGAGTGCAGTAATATTAAGAGTGAGGTAATATTAAGAGTGCGGTAACATTAGGAGTGCAGTAATATTAAGAGTGCAGTAATATTAAGAGTGAGGTAACATTAAGAGTGCGGTAACATTAAGAGTGCGGTAATATTAAGAGTGCAGAAATATTAAGAGTGAGGTAACATTAAGAGTGCAGTAACATTAAGAGTGCAGTAATATTAAGAGTGCGGTAATATTAAGAGTGCAGTAATATTAAGAGTGCGGTAATATTAAGAGTGCAGTAATATTAAGAGTGCGGTAATATTAAGAGTGAGGTAACATTAAGAGTGCAGTAATATTAAGAGTGAGGTAACAATGTATGATAACAGCCAAGAACGTCACTGAAGGTCGTCGTACTTATTAATGTAACAAGAACAAGAAAGTTTTCCTGTTCTTTTTTTTACACAATCACCCACACACCCCTACTCCAGACACCCCTAATGTTACCAGTGTCCCTACTCCAGACACCCCTAATGTTACCAGTGTCCCTACTCCAGACACCCCTAATGTTACCCACGCCCCCTACTCCAGACACCCCTAATGTTACCAGTGTCCCTACTCCAGACACCCCTAATGTTACCCACGCCCCTACTCCAGACACCCCTAATGTTACCAGCGCCCCTACTCCAGACACCCCTAATGTTACCCACGCCCCTACTCCAGACACCCCTAATGTTACCCACGCCCCTACTCCAGACACCCCTAATGTTACCCACGCCCCTACTCCAGACACCCCTAATGTTACCCACGCCCCTACTCCAGACACCCCTAATGTTACCCACGCCCCTACTCCAGACACCCCTAATGTTACCCACGCCCCTAGCGTCCCTACTCCAGACACCCCTAATGTTACCCACGTCCCTACTCCAGACACCCCTAATGTTACCCACGCCCCTAGCGTCCCTACTCCAGACACCCCTAATGTTACCCACGTCCCTACTCCAGACACCCCTAATGTTACTGACAAAATCCCACCTTACTGTACCACTAATATTTCCTTTTCTTGTAGTTTGTACAAAGAAGGTTAATAGTAAGTGTAGACATAACTTTAATAATAATAATAGTAATAATAATAATAATAATATTAATTATGTTTATTCAGGTAAAGTACATACACAAAATAAGTTACAACAGAATATTGTAACTTATTAACTTATAACCACCTCCACCGCGTAACGTGGTGGAGGTGGGGTTGTGAGTGGGATTGGCTGGTTATAGATAGGAGATGCCTCGTATGGGCCAATAGGCCTTCTGCAGTTACCTTTGTTCTTATGTTGGATATGAGACGGAGGTGGTGCATACTATGCCTAGAACCACTAATACACTCAAGTGTTTGGGGCTAACTAGTGTGAGTGTTGGTGGCTTAAAGAGACGGTTCAATTAACCACCGGAACACCAACATTACTGTTGTTCCGTTGTATAACTATAGATCTGAATACAACCAAAGATACAAGAGTAGGAGGAGAGAGAGAGAGAGTATGACGTCACAACCTCCGCCTTAAACGTTTCTATTGAAGCCTTCAGCCAGTGTGACCAACGCCGGCGCTACCCACCCGGTCACTGACTCAGCCACGGCACTCCCAAATCCCTGGGACCGGCACACGCCTCACGCCTCTCATATATACGCCAGGCGAGGGAAGGATATACTGGTGACGCGTGTTAGGTATACACACCACACTCGACTGGGAAATGTTATGTGAGCTCCCTGTTTGGGACGAGAATTTCCGTATGTTGGAGCCGCTGCGGGCATTGGCAACGGTGTTGGTAGTAACCACGAGAGGTTACCATCGGCCTCCAGGCTACCATGATGGTTGGTGCCGCTCAGGGCTCTCCTTCATGGTATGGTGCGGCTCAAGGCTCATGGTAGTGCTCCCACGACTCTCCCTCGCTCCCTATACGTCAGGACTGAAGACTCCTGTGAGGGCAAGGCCCAGGTGGGTAGCAGCTGGTGTATAACGTTGCGCCACCTGCTGCCAACTGTGAGCCAGGGTATATATACACCCGCCCTGGAGAGTGTCACGCATTATCCTCCTGGGAACTGTCAACACAGGTGCTGCTCTCACACCCTACACCCGCTCAACCTCTACCATGCAGCTCCTGAAGCTACACATGTTGCTGGCATTTGTTGTCGTGGCAGTTGACTCCATGGCCGTCACTATTATGGAGAACACCGCCACCGACGGGGAGAACAGTGCCGTTGACGGAGAGAACAATCCCGTTAATGGGGAGAACAGTGCCGTTGACGGGGAGAACAATCCCGTTGACGGGGATAACAGTGCCGATGACGGGAAGAAGACCACCGTCGTGGTGCAGCCCAGCAAAACAAAGCGAGGGTCTAAAGAAGACAAAGCGTTCGAGCGTCAGGTGAAGCAGCTGCTGAAGATGAGATGTAAGCCGCGCCTGACGAAGGTGTTTGTGGCCAACGAGATAGGCGAGGCGGACGAAAAGAAGGACAAGGACCTGTTCCCTCAGGTGGTGGCGGTCAAGAGGTGCGACCACAACTGCAGCTACTGCGGCGACAACGCCGGCAGGGAGGCCAAGACCTGCGTCGCCGCCCGCACCAAGATCAAGAACTTCACCATACGCTACTACGACGACTCCCAGCACCGTCAGTACTTCAAGCTCCCCATCACTGAGGACACCAAGTGTCACTGTGTCCACTGAGCCCTCCACGGTGGACACTATGTGTCTCTGTATCTTGGTGATGACACCATGTGTCTCTGTATCCTAGTGAGGACAACACGTGTCTCTGTGTAATCGTGATGACATCATGTGTGTGTGTCCAGTGATGGCACCATGTGTCTCTGTGTCTACTGAGGACACCAGGGTGGACACTGTGTCTCTGTGTCCACTGAGGCCTCCAGGGTGGACACCTTGTGCCTGTATCCTAATGATAGCACTACAGTAGACAACACGTGTCTCTGTATTCTGGTGATGACACCATGTGTCACTGTGTCCTGGTGATGACACCATGTGTCACTGTGTCCTGGTGATGACACCATGTGTCACTGTGTCCTGGTGATGACACCATGTGTCACTGTGCCAGTGGTGCTCCAGGTGCTCAAGACCACCCACTACCCCACACGTGATGCTCAGTACCAACACCGCTCAGTACCAGTGCTGCTGCTGACCGCTGCTCAAGACTTCACAGTGCGTGTGCTCAAGGCTGTGAGCCAGATAATGGACCTGATATTTGCTGGCCTATGAAGATTATTATATATTTATTTAACTTATTTATTGAACTTATTTATTTAACTTATTTCATTAAAAATAAATTTGTCGATGTCTGTCACTGTCCCCCGGGGATTGTATTGTCTTCAGTCTTAATGGGTGTATATATGTTAAATATATTCTCTCTCTCTCTCTCTCTCTCTCTCTCTCTCTCTCTCTCTCTCTCTCTCTCTCTCTCTCTCTCTCTCTCTCTCTCTCTCTCTCTCTCTCTCTCTCTCTCTCTCTCTCTCTCTCTCTCTCTCTCTCTCTCTCTCTCTCTCTCTCTCTCTCTGTGTGTACCATTATAATACTGGCTGGACTAAACAGGTGTACCATTATAATACTGGCTGGACTAAACAGGTGTACCATTACAATACTGGCTGAACTAAACAGGTGTACCATTACAATACTGGCTGAACTAAACAGGTGTTCACAAAATCACTGCGGGTGACAGAGGCCACGGGAGACAGAGGCCACGGGAGACAGAGGACCCGGGTGACAGAGGCCCCGGGTGACAGAGGCCACGGGAGACAGAGGACCCGGGTGACAGAGGACCCGGGTGACAGAGGCCACGGGAGACAGAGGACCCGGGTGACAGAGGACCCGGGTGACAGAGGACCCGGGTGACAGAGGACCCGGGTGACAGAGGCCACGGGAGACAGAGGACCCGGGTGACAGAGGACCCGGGAGACAGAGGCCACGGGAGACAGAGGACCCGGGTGACAGAGGCCCCGGGTGACAGAGGACCCGGGAGACAGAGGACCCGGGTGACAGAGGACCCGGGTGACAGAGGACCCGGGTGACAGAGGACCCGGGTGACAGAGGACCCGGGTGACAGAGGACCCGGGTGACAGAGGCCACGGGAGACAGAGGACCCGGGTGACAGAGGACCCGGGTGACAGAGGCCACGGGAGACAGAGGACCCGGGTGACAGAGGACCCGGGTGACAGAGAACCCGGGTGACAGAGGACCCGGGTGACAGAGGCCACGGGAGACAGAGGACCCGGGTGACAGAGGACCCGGGTGACAGAGGCCACGGGAGACAGAGGACCCGGGTGACAGAGGACCCGGGTGACAGAGGCCATGGGAGACAGAGGACCCGGGTGACAGAGGCCCCGGGTGACAGAGGCCACGGGAGACAGAGGACCCGGGTGACAGAGGACCCGGGTGACAGAGGCCACGGGAGACAGAGGACCCGGGTGACAGGACCCGGGTGACAGAGGACCCGGGTGACAGAGGACCCGGGTGACAGAGGCCACGGGAGACAGAGGACCCGGGTGACAAGAGGACCCGGGAGACAGAGGCCACGGGAGACAGAGGACCCGGGTGACAGAGGCCCCGGGTGACAGAGGACCCGGGAGAAAGAGGACCCGGGTGACAGAGGACCCGGGTGACAGAGGACCCGGGTGACAGAGGACCCGGGTGACAGAGGACCCGGGTGACAGAGGACCCGGGTGACAGAGGACCCGGGTGACAGAGGACCCGGGTGACAGAGGCCACGGGAGACAGAGGACCCGGGTGACAGAGCACCCGGGTGACAGAGAACCCGGGTGACAGAGGACCCGGGTGACAGAGGACCCGGGTGACAGAGGCCACGGGAGACAGAGGACCCGGGTGATAGAGGACCCGGGTGACAGAGGCCACGGGAGACAGAGGACCCGGGTGACAGAGGACCCGGGTGACAGAGGCCCCGGGTGACAGAGGCCACGGGAGACAGAGGACCCGGGTGACAGAGGACCCGGGTGACAGAGGACCCGGGTGACAGAGGCCACAGAGGCCACGGGAGACAGAGGACCCGGGAGACAGAGGCCACGGGAGACAGAGGACCCGGGTGACAGAGGACCCGGGTGACAGAGGCCACGGGAGACAGAGGACCCGGGTGACAGAGGACCGGGTGACAGAGGACCCGGGTGACAGAGGACCCGGGTGACAGAGGCCACGGGAGACAGAGGACCCGGGTGACAGAGGCCCGGGTGACGGGCCAGACAGAGGACCCGGGTGACAGAGGACCCGGGTGACAGAGGCCACGGGAAGACAGAGGCCCCGGGTGACAGAGGACCCGGGTGACAGAGGACCCGGGTGACAGAGGCCCCCGGGTGACAGGGTGACAGAGGACCCGGGTGACAGAGGCCACCCCAGGGTGACAGAGGACCCGGGTGACAGAGGACCCGGGTGACAGAGGACCCGGGTGACAGAGGACCCGGGTGACAGAGGCCACGGGTGACAGAGGACCCGGGTGACAGAGGACCCGGGTGACAGAGGACCCGGGTGACAGAGGCCCCGGGTGACAGAGGACCCGGGTGACAGAGGACCCGGGTGACAGAGGACCCGGGAGACAGAGGGCCCGGGTGACAGAGGCCCCGGGTGACAGAGGACCCGGGTGACAGAGGACCCGGGTGACAGAGGCCCCGGGTGACAGAGGACCCGGGTGACAGAGGACCCGGGTGACAGAGGACCCGGGACAGAGGACCCGGGTGACAGAGGACCCGGGTGACAGAGGACCCGGGTGACAGAGGCCCCGGGTGACAGAGGACCCGGGTGACAGAGGACCCGGGTGACAGAGGACCAGAGGACCCGGGTGACAGAGGGACCCGGGTGACAGAGGACCCGGGTGACAGAGGCCCCGGGTGACAGAGGACCCGGGTGACAGAGGAGGACCCGGGTGACAGAGGCCCCGGGTGACAGAGGCCCCGGGTGACAGAGGACCCGGGTGACAGAGGACCCCGGGTGACAGAGGGTGACCCGGGTGACAGAGGACCCGGGTGACAGACAGAGGACCCGGGTGACAGAGGACCCGGGTGACAGAGGACCCGGGTGACAGAGGACCCGGGTGACAGAGGACCCGGGTGACAGAGGACCCGGGAGACAGAGGACCCGGGTGACAGAGGCCACGGGAGACAGAGGACCCGGGTGACAGAGGACCCGGGACAGAGGACCCGGGTGACAGAGGCCCCGGGTGACAGAGGACCCGGGTGACAGAGGACCCAGGGTGACAGAGGACCCGGGTGACAGAGGCCACGGGTGACAGAGGACCCGGGTGACAGAGGACCCGGGTGACAGAGGACCCGGGTGACAGAGGACCCGGGTGACAGAGGACCCGGGTGACAGAGGACCCAGAGGTGACAGAGGACCCGGGAGACAGAGGACCCGGGTGACAGAGGACCCGGGTGACAGAGGACCCGGGTGACAGAGGACCCGGGTGACAGAGGCCACGGGAGACAGAGGACCCGGGTGACAGAGGACCCGGGTGACAGAGGCCCCGGGTGACAGAGGACCCGGGTGACAGAGGACCCGGGTGACAGAGGACCCGGGTGACAGAGGACCCGGGTGACAGAGGACCCGGGTGACAGAGGACCCGGGTGACAGAGGACCCGGGTGACAGAGGAGGGTGACAGAGGACCCGGGTGACAGAGGCCCCGGGTGACAGAGGCCACGGGAGACAGAGGACCCGGGTGACAGAGGACCCGGGTGACAGGCCACGGGAGACAGAGGACCCGGGTGACAGAGGACCCGGGTGACAGAGGCCCCGGGTGACAGAGGACCCGGGTGACAGAGGACCCCGGGTGACAGAGGCCCCGGGTGACAGAGGACCCGGGTGACAGAGGACCCGGGTGACAGAGGACCCGGGTGACAGATCTTAAGGGTGACAGGGGATCCGGGTGACAGAGGACCCGGGTGACAGAGGACCCGGGTGACAGAGGACCCGGGTGACAGAGGCCACGGGAGACAGAGGACCCGGGTGACAGAGGACCCGGGTGACAGAGGCCCCGGGTGACAGAGGCCCCGGGTGACAGAGGACCCGGGTGACAGAGGACCCGGGTGACAGAGGACCCGGGTGACAGAGGACCCGGGTGACAGAGGACCCGGGTGACAGAGGACCCGGGTGACAGAGGACCCGGGTGACAGAGGACCCGGGAGGACCCCGGGTGACAGAGGACCCGGGTGACAGAGGACCCGGGTGACAGAGGACCCAGGGTGACAGAGGCCACGGGAGACAGAGGACCCGGGAGACAGAGGACCCGGGTGACAGAGGACCCGGGTGACAGAGGCCACGGGAGACAGAGGACCCGGGTGACAGAGGACCCGGGTGACAGAGGACCCCGGGTGACAGAGGCCACGGGTGACAGAGGACCCGGGTGACAGAGGACCCGGGTGACAGAGGACCAGAGGACCCGGGTGACAGAGAGGACCCGGGTGACAGAGGCCCGGGAGACAGAGGACCCGGGTGACAGAGGACCCCGGGTGACAGAGGACCCGGGTGACAGAGGACCCGGGTGACAGAGGACCCGGGTGAGGGACCCGGGTGACAGAGGACCCGGGTGACAGAGGACCCGGGTGACAGAGGACCCGGGTGACAGAGGCCCCGGGTGACAGAGGACCCGGGTGACAGAGGCCACGGGAGACAGAGGACCCGGGTGACAGAGGACCCGGGTGACAGAGGACCCGGGTGACAGAGGACCCCGGGTGACAGAGGGTGACCCACGGGTGACAGAGGACCCGGGTGACAGAGGACCCGGGTGACAGAGGACCCGGGTGACAGAGGACCCGGGTGACAGAGGACCCGGGTGACAGAGGACCCGGGTGACAGAGGACCCGGGTGACAGAGGCCCCGGGTGACAGAGGACCCGGGTGACAGAGGCCACGGGAGACAGAGGACCCGGGTGACAGAGGACCCGGGTGACAGAGGCCCCGGGTGACAGAGGCCACGGGAGACAGAGGACCCGGGTGACAGAGGACCCGGGTGACAGAGGACCCGGGAGACAGAGGACCCGGGTGACAGAGGACCCGGGTGACAGAGGACCCGGGTGACAGAGGACCCGGGTGACAGAGGACCCGGGAGACAGAGGACCCGGGTGACAGAGGCCACGGGAGACAGAGGACCCGGGAGACAGAGGACCCGGGTGACAGAGGACCCGGGTGACAGAGGCCACGGGAGACAGAGGACCCGGGTGACAGAGGACCCGGGTGACAGAGGACCCGGGTGACAGAGGCCACGGGAGACAGAGGACCCGGGTGACAGAGGACCCGGGTGACAGAGGACCCGGGTGACAGAGGGCCCCGGGTGACAGA